AGGGTCTTATACTGAACCTCAATCCATTTCGAGGCTGATAATTATTCCTTAGTCACAGGCAGTAAACAAGGAGCACACGTGTGTTTTGTGCCAATAATTTATAGGCAAACTGGCTATTTCTAGTGGAAACAGCTTTGAAACTCATTACTGATTATGGAGAGGGAGGCTTTGCTCTGGAAAGGTCAGTAACCCATTCAATGACAGAGGAAGTTATCTAGATCTACTTTTTAAAGGGGAAGGATCGCTGGTTCAAAATCTTTAAGGGCACCTGTTATGGCCCGAGCAAGATTCTATTTATACATTTTGATAGCAAATTTAAAGATTAGGAGAAAAACCTATTTAAAAATATTTTTTTCTCCCATCTGTCAGTCAATGCCAATGCCGTTCATAAGGGTTACATGGTACATTTGCCCCAAACGCCATACCTTCGGCTCTGATCTCTTTTGGGATAGCATAGGTTCCCTAAGTACTTCTATGCATGGCCTATTATCGCAAAATTATACCAGAGGGTTTTAGATATTGGAGATTTAGCATGAGTGTGTTTTTAAAGGGACACTTAAGGCACTCAGATCTCAATTAATTGGTCTGAGTGCAATGGCCCTGTAGTTTTTACCCTGTAATGTGAAACACTGTAGTGTTGTAGAAACTGTAATGTTTACATTTAAGGGTTAAAGACGCCACTAGTGGCTGTCTTCCAGACATACCCTAGAGGCGCTTATTCTGCAACAAATTAGTGAAAAGTATAAATCTGAAGAGGTTTTGGATAGCAATGACACTAACATTAATTGTTATAGAGCAGATATGAAATGCATTGGTATAGAGCAGATATATCATATGTATAGAGCAGATATATGAAATGCATTGTGAGTTTGTGTGTTTATAAATGTATATAAAAAAATATTATTGTTATAGACATTTGTGTAGCACCAACTTATCACACAGCTCAAAATGTTATATGAACAATAGGTTGATGAGGACCCTGCTCAAACAAGCTTTTGAATAGATTTTATCACAATAATTTTATATATATTCACAATGCTACAACACATTTATTAAATAAAAATAAAGAATATGAGAACTCAATCAATCAATTAAATACACTTTAGTTCATTCAACACTAGCACTATTTAAGTTGAAGTTCGTCTCCCATGTAAAAATTAGTGTAGGACCCACCAATATTGGAGTACTGTAAAGTAGTGGTAAGATTAACATAATTTGGTCATATGGTGGAACTGAATCTCCATATTTGTTTCCTGAGATAGGTGATTTTAAGTAGCCTTAAATGGACTCTCAAGTGCCAGGAAAACAAACCCATTTTCCTTGCACTAGAGAATCCTACAGTGCCCCCCTCCCTCATGCCCCCCATCCCATGCTGCTGAAGAGATTAAAACCCCTTCAGACACTTACCTGAATCCAGTGCTGATGTCCCTTTTGGCGCTAGGTCAGGTTCCGCCCACGCTTCTCCCCCGCTGACGTCCAACGGTGGAGACCTAATGCGAATGCGTGGCAATGGCCACACGCGCGCATCAGATTTACCCATACATTAGCATTATTTAATCCTTTCCTATGGGGATTCCGGCAATGCTGGACGTCCTCATGCATAGCGTGTGGACGTCCAGCGTTGTTTAAAAAGTTGAAAAAGTTGTTTGAGAACCCGGAAGTCCCTCTAGTGGCTGTCTGATAGACAGCCACTATAGGAGGACTTAGCCCTGCAAGGTAATTATTGCAGTTTATAAAAACTGCAATAATTACACTTGCAGGGTTAAGGGTGAGTGGAGTTTGCACCCAGACCACTTCAATGGGCAGAAGTGGTCTGGGTGCCTGGAGTGTCCCTTTAATCTGTATTTTGGATAAATATTGGTCTTTACGGCAGCACCACTGCTGAGAAATGCATATTCTGAGTGTGCCCCAATTCTCCTGTTTTCTAAAAGTAAATGATGGCATTAACCCCCATTTAATGAAGCCAGGGCTGACTTTAGGGTTGTGTGAGCTGTGCGGCCGCACAGGGGGCGCCATGTGGTGGACACAGCTGACACATGGCTGGATGACAGCTGTGCAGGGGTAGCGGAGGGAAGCAGGAAGGAATCCCTGCTTCTCCAACAAATAGGCTACAGGAACTGCACTGCCTCCACTCCTACCTTCCAGCCATAATGTAAAGAGGTGTGTGTGTGTGTGTGTGAGTGACTGTCTGCCTGTGTGTGTGTGTGTGAGACTGTCTGCCTGTGTATGCGTGTGTGTGGCTATCTGCTTGTTTGTGTGACTGTGTGTGTGTGTGTGTGGCTATCTGCTTGTTTGTGTGACTGTGTGTTACTGTCTGCTTGTGTGTGTGTGTGGCTGTCTACTTGTGTGTGTGTGACTGTGTGTGACTGCCTGCCTGTGTGTGTGTGACTGCCTGCCTGCGTGTGTGTGTGTGTGACTGCCTGTGTGTGTGTGTGTGTGAATGTCTGCCTGTGTGTGTGTGACTGTCTGCTTGTGTGTGTGTATGGCTGTCTGCTTGTGTGTGTGACTGTGTGTGACTGCCTGTGTGTGTGTGTGTGTGTGTGTGAGAGAGAGACTGTCTGCCTGTGTATGTGTGTGTGTGAGGCTATCTGCTTGTGTGTGTGACTGTGTGACTGTCTGCCTGTGTGTGACTGTCTGCTTGTGTGTGACTGTCTGCCTCTGTGTGTGTGTGTGTGTGTGTGTCTGTCTGTCTGCCTGTGTGTGAGACTGTCTGCCTGTGTGTGTTAGTGTGTGTGTGTGTAAGACTGTCTGCCTGGGTATGTGTCTGAAACTACGTCTGCAATTACAGTTACTATGACTGTAACTGTGTGTGTGGCTGTAAGTGTGACTTTGCCTGTGTGTGTGACTGTAACTGACTGTATGTGTCTGTGGCACTAGGAAGATGTTTCGCACAGGATGCCTAATGGCCTAAGGCCTGCCCTGAATGGAGCTACCTATAGGTTGAAAGCATCTGTTGACATTCATAGCCTACCAGCAGCGTCCGGTCTGAGGCTGGACAGAGCAGAGGTGTGCCGCACTAAATTATGAAGAGCACTCTGAATTTACACATTCAGATGTTTAGTCATGCTGACTTTATGTAGCCACTTATTTAGGCTTTTTGACTTGGTCTTTTTATTACTGTACGTTTAACTGTCTTGACATTTTTCTCATTTGTTTGCTGTAGTTATGAGCATATATTCTGTCTACAAAAAAACATAAAATAATAAATAAATAAAAGAGCAAGTCATCACCTGGTTGGCATCAATAAATTATTTGATCGATATTATACAAGGAATGACCCTTCCTTAAGATCATGCTTTTTACATAACTTCCGCTGGATTCAGACTAAATGTCTCTTCCTCAATAGTACCCACGACCATAGATATATATACCTTTTGACAACTTTGAAAATTTATTTTACCCTTTTCTTTTTTTTTTTTACTATAATCCTCTCCTTACTTTTCCTTTTGCCATGTGGTATGGGCCATTAAGTAGGCCCTCCAACATTTGACTATTTCTTTTAATTATTTTTTTTATTCCACAGTCCAGGGAATGTGGAAACAAGTGAGTGTCAGCTGCAGTTCTGACTATTAATCCTGATGCACCCGTGTGAGCTGAAAAGGGGTGGGCGTAGATTACGTCCTCAGTGCAGCAAGAGGGCAAGCATTGCAAACATCTGCTACTCTGCTGATAGGAAGGACACTATCAGAAACTGTTGAATATGCCCATTCTGGAGCAGTTATGTGTCAATGTGTGTAAAAATATTT